ATGGTTTCTCCTATTTGATCATATGGAGATTTCTTAACACTAATAATTTGCTCTTTGACTGTTAGCATTCTAAGTATCACTCCTTGTGTAATCCTATGGAAATTAAAAGCTCACATTGCTGGAAACATTTATTCGAAGTTGCTGGCAATATTAGACATTGCATTACTCTCTCTATCCGCCCTTGTAGCAAATTGCCTTTATTATGGGACCTTTGGTGTAATGAATTCTCTATTGCAAAAATGTTGAACGACCCACCCTTTGTTAATCACTATTCCTCTTTCTCTACATGGGAGGTTTCTATGGTTATTGATGGTGAGCACTGGACTGTTCCTCTCTATTTTAATGGATCGATTGTTTCTAAGGTCCACGCAACTCCCCTAGACCCCCATCTGGTTAATCATTGTTTGCTAGGATCTCAGAATCCCAATTTTAAAAATTTCAACAATTTTTCTCTTAATTAGTTGTCTCTTGGCACAAAATGGTTTGGAACAAAAGATCGGCCCTTTGTTTTTTTGTGTTTGTCTGGTTGGCTTTCAAAGGGGGCCTAAAAATTGCTGATGTTTTAGCCACCCCTGGGAGATTCAAACTTCAACAATCTGCTGCTTCTATCATAATGAACCTGAAACTCTCTCCCACCTCTTCTTTGAATGTTGATTTACTTTTAACATCCTTAAACATTTTCTCCCTTGGTTGAGTAATCTCCTTATGAGACTGAATATCCACCAGGCTTTTGAAAGCACCATGGAATAAATAATTTCTAGTATTCGTACTAGCTATTACATGTGATGCCCTATAATTTAAATAGGAAGTTTTATTCTTTTAATAAACAACAACCATGGCTATCTATTCATATAGATGTGTGCATTGATGTCTTAAATTGTAGAATTTGTTGTACTGTTTATTACTAATACATGATATTAGATACATTTGTTCGTTGTTTACTAAAAGATAAGAATGATTCTTCCAATTTAGATTATGGGGCATCGCATTACATGCTTGTTTCTTGTGTAGAAATTTATCATATTTGGAGAGCTATAAATGATAAAACTTTTGGAGGAATTTTTAATTGTCAAGCAATTGTGATTACTAAAATTAAAAAAGCTATTATATGTAAGACCTTTACATGGAAAGACCATCATACTATTTAGAAAATGCACCCTTTGGTCTCTTGCTAGGTTGATTCTTGGTTGTTTATCATGACATTATGGCTTCTTTTTCGTTTGGTTGCCTGGGAGATTTTATTATTGGAAGGATAATGATGAATGTTGGTTCCTCCAGCTACCCCTAGGATGGTCTTATTAGAAATCAGGGGCTTCGCTTTTGTGCTGTCTCTTCTAGGCTACTGCGACAAGTTAGCGACCCAGATTTTTTTGGTCGCTATTTTCTTTAGCGTCCAAATTAATATTTTTAGCGACCAATTTTGTTTGTCACTATTGACCCATTTTCTTGTAGTGAAGGTCATCGTTTTACGTGACCAAACCATCTAAGGCTACTCTCTCTAATTTTATCTTCCACTGGAATTACTCCAACCTTTTCACATATATGCTCATTTTGTATCCTATCTCTAAAGGTAATGCCAAGGCATCTAAAATAATATATGACTATATCTTACGGTCCTAATTAAGTTAATATACTAATATGTGGGAAAATTTTGCTCAAAATTTTAAATAAATAGTAAATACTAATATTACTAACATATTTGAAATCCAATTTTATATTTAACTTCAAATGTGAGAAATATTATCTACTCTCTACTCTCATATCCATGTCAGAGCAACTAAATCTATGCTTCACTATGGCAAACAAGTCATCCACATAGAAGATTAAACTCCAATATTCAATGTTGAAACTTAATAAAATAGCAATGTGATAAAATTGCTAAAATAATATTCAATGTTGAAACTTAATAAAGTAGGTATAGAGCACTGTTCTACTACTTGTAGGCATATCAGAACAAAGGCAATGCGTGGTCCTGATAATTTTTGGAGCACAAGAATTAAAGATTAAAGTTGAAAGATGACATTAGATTTGCAACGATTAAAAATATTAGTTCTTTGCATCATGAATTAAAAAGATTCGACAACGAACAATTTCACTGAAAGAACTCTATTAAATCAAAAGCCTCGCATTTTATAAATCATCTTTGTAAAAGCCAGTGCCATGTATGAAGGATTGGCTTTGAGGATAAACTGTGATCAATATGCAAAAGTTTAATAAAAATGTGCCATATTATTGACGACTCGATCCAAGAAGCAAGTTTGCAGTCATAGCGAAAAAAAAAAAAAAGACTAAGCTACATATTTTTAATTTTCTATGAAATAAATGTGTTGCTATGAAAGGCATGATACTCAATACAAGTAACCAACTATGTGTATATATCAATCTGAAATTGAAAGAAACAGAAAGGAAATGTAAGTGTAATTCAGTTCAGTGAAAATGGAGGTTGAAGTTGCCAAGTAGTCAGCCACATCATCATGGTGCAACAACTCAGCAATATATTTGAGTTAGGAAAAAAAAAATGTAAATCATTAATAGTATATCAGGGAGATATGAGATCGCGCCAAGTCTATCTATGGGCTCCTTGGTGGTTAAAAATGGAATGGGAATTAAGATAATTGAACCGGTTGAACCCGGTTGAACCGGTGAATCACCGAACCGGGCGGGTTTTGGAGAACCGGCTGGTTCTAAGATTAGCGAATCTCAGGCGTCCAAAAATGATCACACGCGTGTAATGAGGCTGGGAATCACTCCTGACGCTCCTCTACCCTAAATAGCGATTCAAATATTCAATGGATTAATTGTTCGGCTGTTCCTCTACTCGCTCGAAGTCGACGACGAAGCAGCGGCTGTTCCGGTGTTCCACTACTCGCTCATCGACCGAAGTATCCCAACTGCGGCGAACTCCTCCCGTCCTCCGACCATCCCATCCGCGGCGTCCTCCTACTGTGAGATTTAATTTTGTTTTTTTTTTCAACATTTTTTTTCTCACTTTGAATTAGTTGGATGACTTCCTTTCTTAATAACAACAGCACGATCATCCAAGCTGCCGGCGAACTCCTCCGACAATCCTAGCCGCTTGTTTATCGTGAGGTTTAATTTTTTTTTTTCTTTTTGGATCTTCCTACATTCAAATCTAAATGCTTCTTTGAATTTTTTTTCCTATTTTATTTTTTATTTTATTGGATTTCCATGTTATTTTAATATGATTATTTGTTAGCAATATCTATTTATTTGTTGAATGACTTGAATCCCTCAATCTAGTTGTCTTTTGTATTTAAAATTTTTATATGGTTGTTTCATATTTATATTAATAATTAGAGCATAATCCTCATAATTCATCTTAATCCCAAGGTTTTCCAGACTTTGTTGTGTATCCGATTTGCAAATTTTTTAATCTTTTACATTTGCTCAAAGCCAACTCTATCATTTTGGCATGTCTACATTCAAAGAACTCAATCTTTAAATTCATAATTCATATGAAATTCATTATTGTGATTGTATTTAGTTGATCATATGAGGATGGAAGCATCTGGAACTCAGAGTGCAGCTTCAAGTAGTAGTGTGCGTGAAAAGGTGGATATTGCGTGGAATCATTTTAGTGAGATTAAAGATGCTGAGGGGAAGAGACAATTCAAATGTTTGCATTGTGGTATTGTGTACAAGGGAGGAGGAATAAATAGAATGAAACAATGTTTTCACGATGCAAATTAGGAGATATATGAATTTTCTTTTGTGAATTTAATTAAGAGAAACATTAGTAACTCTATATATGTATTATGAATGTGTTTTTCTTTTTCTTTCACAATGCACCCATGTTTTGAATGTTTTTGTGCTTGGCATATCAGTGCTAGATTGTAGTTTTATACTTTTATTCAAGGTTATAAATTCCTGTTGGCATATATTTAAAGATTAATTAAAGATTTTGTTGAATGTTGGTATTTAAAGATATGCTTCTATTCGTATAACGCCTTGTCGATATTTAATTATTTGTTGAATGTTGTAATTATTCTTTCATTAAAACAAATTTTATATGGCAGACGAATTTTGAAATGCTTCTGGCAAAACCAAGCAACACTGCAAAAATCCAAATCATATTATAGAAGATTTCTTCCTCAAAATCCC